TTCAATAAACTCTTCCTTCTATTAGTTACCTTGCTTGTGGTGTTTTAGCACAGCAACAGAAAAAAAAAAAAAAAAAAAAATTAAAAAAAAATCTCAATACATGTAAAGTTTGACAATACATCTGTTTACAATAGTTTTATAATTTCTAATAATAAAATGAGTCCTACAGTGCCAATATAATCAACATACAAATATTTGTGTCATTACAATACCAGCTTCAGGGGAGGGGTGCTGAGAACCTCCCACAATTCAAATACCATAAGAAAATTCAGCCCTGAAGTGTCTCTGAAACCACTGGTATGCACTGCAAGAGTGTTAATTCTCACATAGGACTTGTTAAGTGTTTATATAGCACAATTACATTTGCCAAGTGCTTCATAATCATTTTATTAGCTGTTTCTAGTCCAAAACAACCCATGAAGAACTTTACAGAAGAGGAACCTAGGCCCAGAGAGGAACCAAAGAAAACCAAGTTCACCCTGGAGGAAATAACACCATTCTCTTGCATACCAGGTCCTCCTAATCATTTTTAGCTGCAGTATGAATTTTGCCAAGTAAGTTATTAATGAGTATAATAAATATCAAAGAAATAGTGTATTGAATTCTAACAAAAATGTTAAGATGGTGTGTACACTTTTAAGTACTTCGGATTAAATACTAGATTTCACTTTACAGACACAACCATAAGGAAGTAAGACTCTCCCAAATGGCAAACTTAAGCTATACGTTAAAGTGGCTATTTCTCTTTCTTCACAACTGACTTAAATAGGGTCATCAAAGGGACTCACGGACCTCAAAGTCAGGTCCTGTAACTATAAGCAGATAGTCCTGTTACAAAAAAAAAAAAAACTAGAGCCTAACTAAATGTCTTAAGCACAGGTAGGAAGTTCTGTTTAAGTCTGAAGCAGGCTCAGTCAATCCACCTTTCGAAAGGCAATATTCGAAACCAGAACTTGAGGTTTAATCAGCGCCTATCTCTACACTATCAATGGACTACATCCAATGTTTTGCAGGGTAACAAAAAACTTGAACCAGCCTTAGCAGTGAAAGGAAGGAAGTTCCTTGCTTGGCCCCATTTAAATCTACCTCTTTCCTTCATCTTCGTGCTACATCGCTCTGCTGTTACCCTGACCACGGGTCCCTCACAGAGAACCCATATCCCTAATTTCCTGATTAGATCTCGACTCCTCATCCGGCCAGGAGCCCTAGCCGGCAAATCCAACACACTCATTACCATCGCGCAGGGCCAATTCCGTGACCCACATCCCCACTGCCGGCACAGAGCCCCAAACTCCGCACCCCCATCGCACTTCCGCCCCGGTGGCTCCGCGATCAGCCCTCCCCCCAGCCCCCACCCCATCTTGGTCTGGCTCCCCACACACCTCAACATCCCCAACTCTCCACGACAGCCGTTCCTCTCCGCCCCACGCCGTCCGGGCCTCCAGCACTCGGCCCGGCTAGACCCGGGTGGGCAGCGCAGGATCCGGCTCGGGCTCCGAGGTCCGGATCCGGCCCCGGCCCCAGCCCGCGGCGCCCCCTCCCCCAGCCGCCGCCGCCCTCCGCCCACGCCCACCCTGCGCTCCTCCGCAGGCCCCTCACCTTGTCCATGAGCTTCCAGCACTTCTCCACCATCTTCTTGTCCACAGTGCCCGGCGGGTGCGGGCTGAGGTGGTGGTGGTGGTGGTGCGGCTGGAAGGCGTCCTTCATCAGCCCGATCAGGCCGCCCGCGCCCGAGCCCCCGGAGCCGCCGCCACCCCCAGCGCCGGAGCTCTTCTTCACGTTGCCCGCCATGGCCCGGGGAGGGTCGCGAGCCCGGTGGGTCGGCCGGCTCCTCTCGGCCGCGAGCGAGGGAATCGAGCCAAGAGAGAAGGAGGGGCCTCTCCCGGCAGCAGCCGCCGGCTCCGGGGCTGAGGGAGGAGCGGCGCTTGGGAGGGGAATGGGAGGTGCCGGGCCCTGAGGCGCGCCCCTTCAGCCAGCGCGAGCCCGGGCAGCGCGGGGGCGCGCGCCGAGGAGCAGCTGCCGAGCGAGCTACGAGCTCCGGAAAGCTGCGAGGGCGGCCGTGAACTCCCCTCGTGCGCGAGCTCGCGAGCACACGAGTGCCCAGCCGCTCCCGGAAAGCCTCCTCCGAGTTTCCCCGGGGGCGGAAAGGGGCGTGGCCATCCCGGGGCGGGGCCCAGGGGAAACTCGGTGTCTGCGCCCTCTGCTGGAGAAGCGAGGAATGGAAGGGCGGGGGGGGGGTTCTCAGTTGGAGCCTGCGCACTAGGCAGAAGCCGGGTCCTCCATGTTCTTTGTGGGTCGTGCTTGGTGCTTCCGGGAGTGAGTCATTGCAGTGCTTGAATTAAGACAGCTAGCAATGGAGTCTTCAAGTCTTTTTCCTTCTGACAAATGTGGAAGTTGAGCTTAGCGCTAATCTGCTTCATAGTGTGGGAAAATGGAGAAAACCAAAAGATCTTTTTCTACCCCCTAGTGTTTTATTTTTGTGGTGTTTGGAATTGAAGGCCCTGCGCATGCTAGACAAGCGCTCTACCGTTGAGCTATATCCCCATTCTCCACCTCCTTGATGTTTTGAAGTCTTCATTTATACCTGACTGAAAACCGGAATATGAATGCCGCAGCTTCTTGGAGTCAGATAGGCCTCAGAAAGGCTTAAGGTGTAGGGCATTCAAGCCCCAAGTTCTTCCAGGCCTTGAGCTCTTGGAAACAAAGAACCTGTACGAAGAAGAGCACTTCCTTTTCTGGGAACTGAATTTGTAGTTAAAAAGACTCAAGAGCATTGCACTGCCAGCACGAGGCCCCGCCCACAGGAGCCGTGAGACAGCTGTGAGCCCAGGCCCGGACCCAAATACAGCTCCCAGTCGCCTCCACTTCCCTAATTTACAAGTTTCATTGGAAAAACTTAGAAAATAGGAACTTCTTTTCTAAAGAAGGAAGTGCCCCGCCTTAAATTGCCAATTCTGAGCCTCAGTTTTGTGAGCTGGGAAAGCCCAGATGTGTCAAGTACTCAGTTCCGCCCTAGATCTCCTGGCTCTTCCACAAAGCCCTTGACTGATAAGGTTGGTGAACTCATTACTTCTAGAGAGGAAAATGTCTTGGTAAGCCAAAACCATTCAGTCCAATAGCTTTGGTTTGCAAATCTAATCAGCTTTACCTAAGACATTTAGATAATCTTATATAATCTATAATATATATTATCATTTTCTATCAGTAGACTGTCCTTTTATCAGTTTCTACCTAGAAAAAGAATGATGATGGGGAGACAGTGAAGGCTCTTAAGTGAAGTTTTTTGCCCCAGGAATATATATATTTTTTACTTAAAAAAAAATTTTTTTTTTTTGGTCTTTTTGAGACAGGGTCTCCCTGTAGCCCCAGCTGTCCTGGAGACCAGGCTGGCCTTTTTATCTTATGTGTATGAGAGTTTTACCTGCATATGTATATGTACACATGAGCGTGCAATGCCCAAGAAGGCATTGCATGCCCTGGAACTGGAGTTATGGATTGTTGTTAGCAACCATATGGGTACTAGGAGCTATATCTGGGTCCTCTGCAAGAGCAGCAAATCCTCTTAACCATTGAGCCATCTCTCCAGCCCCTTCCCTGGAATATTGAAACCTTTTCCTCACTGATTTTCCTGACAGATTCAATCTATCCTGTCACCATATGCTTCCTAAAGTCTGATAGCATCTTCTCCTCACTCCCCCCCCACACAAATCCTTTAAAAACTCTCCACTGCCTCTGTAATAAAACTAACAGTGCCGATTTTACTCCAAACTGGTTTTATATTACTCCATAAAACAGATTCTATGCTAAGAAATTTAGCAAGTCACAAAATAACAATTCTTTGTTTTTTTCATCACCATTACTGACTATATTCCCTCTGCCTAAAATGCGCTTCTAAAATCCAAGTTATGAGGCAGGAGAAATGAAGATTTGTTGCCAGCCTGGGCTATAAACAGAGACCCTGTCTCAAAACAAAAATACTCAGCTCAAGTACTGTCCTATAGAGAGAGGTAACCCTTCACTTCTCTAAACTGCCATAACATTTTTTTATTTCACCAGGCCCATTTTTCTGGCTTTCTGAGACCAAGTGTCACTATATATTCCAGACTGACCTTGAACTCACTATGTAGCCCAGGCTTGCCTCTAACTCACAACAATCCTCCTGCCTCAGCCTCCTAAGTGTTAGGATTACAAGTGTGTGCCACCATACTCAACTTTCATTTCTCTCTCTCCTTTTTTTTTTTCACTTTGGTCTTTTTGAGAGAGGATCTCCCTGTAGCCCCAGCTGACCTGGAACTCCCTATGTAAGCCAAGTTGGCCTTGAACTCACTGAGATCTGCCTGCCTCTGCCTCTGCCCCCCAAGTGCTGAGATTAAAGATGTGGGCTACCATGCAGGCATGGTTCATTTCTCTTTTATAGCACATGCTAATATGCTATACTGTCTTGGCAACTTTGGATCTTCTACAGTATTTAACAGTGTATGGATACACCAGAGTATTTTTATTTCAAATCCTAGATTTAATGCAGTACAATACAACAAAGGCATTTACCTATGGAACTATGTATGTCCTTGTCTAAATGTACAGTACATATCTCTGGCTTGGTTGAAGGTTTCCTATTTGTATTCTTTTTAATGGTCTGAAGATCATGGACTTATATAGCACATACTTTGTTTCTGCTACAACAGGCCATTTTACCTTTCCTTTTTTTTTTTTTGGTTTGGCTTTGTTTTGTACATAGACATTAGAGTTCATTGAGATAGAAACACTAACAAAGGAAAAAAGAAAATTGAGTTGTAGGAGGAGGCATTCTTTTAAATTCTAGCAGAATTCTGAACCATAAAAGTAATTGTTGGGGACTGGAGAGATGGCTCAGTGGTTAAGAACACTGGTTATTCTTGCAGAAGACCCAGGTTTGTATCCCAGCACCCACATGGCAGCTAACAACTGTCCGTAACTCCACTCCCAGAGCATCGGACAGCCTCTTCTGACCTCTGAGGGCATTGCATGACATGGATGCACTTACCTACATGCATGCAATACACACATACACATAAAACAAAAATAATAAATTTTTTTAAAAAGTAATTGTTAGCCGGGCGTGGTGGCGCATGCCTGTAGACCCAGCACTTGGGAGGCAGAGGTAGGCGGATCTCTGTGAGTTCAAGGCCAGCCTGGTCTACATAGTGAGTTCCAGGACAGCTGGGGCTACAGGGAGACCCTGCTTCAAAAGACAAAAAAAAAAGTAGTTGTTAAATAATTGTTAGGGGCTGTCAATATTGCTCAGTGGTTAAGAGCAATAGCTGCTTTGGGGTCTAGAAAGATAGTTCGGCAGTTAAGAGCACTGACTGCTCTTGCAGGGGACCCGGGTTTGATTCCAGCACCCACATTGTGGCTAACAACTATCATAACTCCAATTCTAGAGGCTCCACTGCCCTCTTCTGACCTCCACGGGCATTACATGACACAGTGCACCTACCTATATACAGGCAATATATTCATACACATAAAATAAAAATAATTAAAAATTTATTTAAGGGGCTGGAGAGATGGCTTATTGATTAAGAGCACTGACTGCTCTTACAGAGGACCCGGGTTTGAGTCCCAGCACCTACATGGCAACTAATAACTATAGATCCTATCCTCTCTTCTGACCTCTGCAGGCATTGCATGACACAGGTGCACTTACATACATGCAGGAAATACAGTCATACACATAAAATAATAAATTTTTTTTAAAAAAAAGAGCAACAGCTGCTTTTGGAGAAGACTCTGGTTCAGCTCCCAGCACCCACATGGTGTTTAACAATCCTCAGTAACTCCAGTTCCAGGGGATTCAATGCACTCTTCTGGACTCCATGGGCATTGTATGCCCAGGTGCATTTACAGACATGTAGGCAAGACATACACACATAAAAATAAACTAAAATATAATCGTTAGAATTTAAGAATGCACGATATTGGGGCTGGAGAGATGGCTCAGTGGTTGGGAGCACTGATTGCTCTTGCAGAGGACCCGGGTTCGATTCCCAGCACCCACATGGCGGCTTTGAACCATCCTTAACTCCCAGGGGAATCCGAAGCCCTCTTCTGACCTCTGTGACATTGTATGACACGGGTGCAGTCACACACGTGCAGGCAATTCACTCATATACATAAAATAAAAATAATAAAATATTTTTAAAAAAAGAAGAAGAAGAATGCATGATATCAAGCTAGGTGTGGTGGCGTACGCATTTAGTTCCAGCACTCTGGAGGCAGAGACAGGGCCATCTCTGTAAATTTGAGGCCAGCCTAGTTCTACATAGCAAGTTCCAGGTCAGCTGGGCTACAGGGAGACCCTGTCTCAAAAATACAAAAAAAAGAATGCATGATATCTAGCCGGATGTGGCAGTGCACACCTTTAGTCCCAGCACCCTAAAGACAGAGGCAGGGGGATCTCTGTGAGTTCAAGGCCAGTATGGTCTACATAAGGAGGTCCAGGCCTGCTAGGGCTACAGGAAGATCCTGTCTCAAAAAAACAAACAAACAAACAAAAAAAACCCACAATATCACCAAGAACTTTACTCTAATTCCAAAGTCATTTCTACCCCAGAAACTTCATTGATAGCTATATAGTGGCTCCACCTTGCCCCTAACCACAGAAAATGTGGAGGACTCGCCAGATACTTGGCCACCCCATCATAACCCTTTGACCTTGACCCTTGCTGCCATTTTCTGGTAGGAACATAGCTGTTATAGGAGAGCCAGACAAAAGACAGTGGCCCAAACACTGAAAATCTATACCTATGTCCACCCCATCCCCCAGGCAGGGGTCAGCAGTGCCATCTTTGTGTTCAAAGGGCCAATACCCCTGACCTCTCATGGATCCATCAGAGAAGTAGCCAGAGGCCTTGAGAGCTCTTTTCCCCTGGAGGGAAGAAAATAGAGGAAGTGAAAAACTACATTGTGTTTGATATTTTTTAGCAGCTTAGAGTCCAGCACAGGTAAGCTGTACTCAACTTTCCAGTTTCAGTGATTTAACTTGGCAGTCACACACCTCCTGGCTTTTGCAAAAGTTGTCTGCCCTTGCAGAAGGCCTCTCTCTCTCTCCTGCACCCCACTTCCACCTGCTTCCACTAACCTTTCCTGACCAATTCCTTCCATCCAGCAAGTCCTCCAAGCTGAGCAATCACCTTCCTGACCCTCCAAAACATCAAAAGCAGGCAGGCTCCCCACTTCCTGGTGGTGTTATCCTCTACCCTGGATGGGCAAAATCCCCCATCCTGGATTCCTTCCTTGCTCTCTTATCCTCCCACTCCTTAAAGACAGGGCACTTTGCTAACAATGATAAGGAAAGCTTCAGGCCAGGGCCTGGTGTCACATGCATATTCACTGAATACATACAGATCATGTAAGTGTCAAAGAACCAGAGGATGAAATACATCCAAAAAGACTTTCTCCTGTGTAAATTAATGATAATTCCTAACAGAAGGAAGAGGAAGATCCTAAAGCAATTATTTCAGTGTGGTCAGTAACAGGCACCTGCAGCTGTAAAAAGTGGTTATTTCTTCAGGCTGAGCAACAATTGCTTCCGTTTTTTTTCTTTACCTTTAGATAGACAGATAGATAGATAGATAGATAGATGATTAATTGATAGATAGATAGATAGATAGATAGATAGATAGATAGATAGATAGATAGATGATATAGATATATTCCTGTGTGCTTCTCTTTCTCTCTTTCTTTTGGAGATAGGTATCACCCAGGCTGGCATTATATTCCTGAGCCAAAAGGTCCTCCTAGCCGAGCATGGTGGCACATGCCTTTAATTCCAGCACTCAGGAGGCAGAGGCTGGAGGATCTCTGTGAGATTGAGTGCAGCCTGGTCTCCATTGTGAGTTCCAGGCTTGCTGGGGCTACAGGGAGACCCTGTCTCAAAGAAAAGACCAAAAAAAAAGTCCTCCTCCTACCTGAGCCTCCTAAGTAGCTGGGTCTGCAGTGTGCTACTGTACCCAGCTCACAGTTCCTGTAGGCCACATCCCCTTAGTTCTCTAATCAGGCCATATTTCTTTTAGCATACAAGCCAGTCTCCCATAGTTGAATAAAAAGGAGTGGCTTCTCCTTTACATCTCTTCAGAACTCTTAGATACACCTTATTTAAGGGAAAACGGGGCCAGTGAGATGGCTAAATGGGTAGAAGCATTTGCTGCAAGCCTCACAACCTGAGTTCCATCCCTGGGACACCTTGAAAGTTGTCCTCTACCTCTATGTGCCCTAGCATGCACACACACATAGAGTAAATAAAAAAGGTTTAATGAAGGAAGACAGGTCTGCTGATCTTTCCTAACATCAGTTCTAAACTGAAGTGAATGAAGATAGAGGGATAGACTGACATTCTTCTCACAATTTTTATTTGACTCTTTTTTTATATTTCAGAGATGGATTGAAGTGCTGAGCACAATGTCCTCCCACTCTGGGCTATGGTAGAGCTGGTTCATCATGTGACTCACACCACTCTTCTTACTCCACTTCACCTTCACCTCAAACCACATCCTCATTCTGCACCTGAAAGTCCGTTGACATTGACTGAACATATTCATAAATAAACGCTCTTCTGAGATATGGTGCATCATTTATATTCTGGAATCTCTGTCCTCAATGTGTCATTCCAAGCACTCACAGAACAGAGACACGATGATTCCATGAAAAAGTCCCCAAACAAGCCCCTAGGTAAAAAGGAAGGAGATAGGGGCACCCATTGTGTGCCAAGACAGGGGAGGGGATTCTGGAGGGAGAATAAATGAAAACACTGTGAAATGAGAAGAAAGATGTTCTACACATCTAGGAAATGTGACAAGGTTAGCCAACTATGAGTTCCAGGAGCTGGAATACTGGCAAAGTAAGTCTGGCTCTTCTCTTTGCTAGAAAATGTCCAAAGTGCCACAGAAGTACTCTGTAGCCACTAAGGGGCTAAATAAACATGCACTGACCTTTATCTGCCTGCTCATCACAAAAGTGAGACATTTTGTTCCCAGATCTTGTGTCTATTTCTGCAGATTTGCTTCTGATAATAGGCACTTGACCAAAATTGAGGGGGACTGGGATAGAAGTACCTTAAAAAAGAGTCTGAGCCAGCTAAGTGTGGTGGAGCACACCTTTAGTCTCAGCACTTGGGAGGCACAGGCAGGCGAATCTCTGTGAGTTTGAGGCCAGCCTGGTCTCCATAGCAAGTTCCAGGCCAGCTGGAGCTACAGGGAGGTCCTATCTCAGAAAGACAAAAAAAAAAAAAAAAAAAAAAAAAAAAAAAAGTCTGTAGGTCCCATAATCCATAATCCACAAGGAGGAAACTCTTGTTGGTGTTTTGTTTGTTCAGCTGGTTGATTGCTTAGTTGTCTTTTTGAAACAGGGTCTCACTATGTAGCTCTGCCTTGCCTGGAACTCTCAGAGATCTGCCTGCCTCTGCCTCCCAAGTGCTGGGATTAAAGGCATGCACCACCAAGTTCATCTACCTGCTATTTTTATTCTAGTCAGTGGGGTGCCGAGAGATCCAGCTGGCAGATAGATGGCAAGGTTCCAGGATAGCCCCCGATAGCTGCCCATTATACGCTCTGCCGTCAACCATTTTTCCCAATCACATGTGTTCCCTAAGGTGCTAGGAAGTATCCCCCAAAGGCAGTCACCCACAAGGTTGCTCAAGAAATGTTAAACTGCAAAATTTAGATGAGGCCAAGTAAATCCACTAGAGGGAGCTCTAACCAACTCTATGTTGTAGGGTGGCTTCTAAACACCTGTCTGCAGATTAACCCGTAAAGGAATAGAGAGTGAGTGAGGCAATAATCTGTGAGAGAAAAAAGTTCTGTAAATATCCAACTGAAATCTTGGGCTTTCAGAAGTCACAAAACTTATATGCCAGGAGATTACAGCTGAACAAAGTTAAATGGTTGGAACTCATGGCACTTTGCCTAATTCATGACCTTTCTTGACATTTGCAAACCCCTGGCTCAGCACCCTGGAGGCCATGGGTCCAACTCCTCTCTGTTCTCATTCCTCTAAAATGGAAAAGTCTCTGGCTACCTGCTCCAGTGTTTGTTTCCCTCACTCTCCATAGATATAATACTCTTCTAAAATGGACCTT